CTTGGTCCCCCTTCCTTCCCTTTCTTTTGAGAGAAAGGAACAGCTGGACGTGAGCTGAACCTGAACTTGATCTCTTCATATCAGCAGGCCTCAGAGGCCCTTTTCTGTGACTGCTGTGTCCGGCTGTAGGGGTAAACCCCTTGTAACTGTGCAGCTGTCCACAAAATGGACATAGTATGTGCTTACTCACTATGGACTGAAATCCCTTGCCTGGACTTTTTGTAATCCACTATAGACATAACATAACCTGCCGAGCTGCAGCAAAACTGATGGTTCTTCTTACCTTTAACCAAACTAAGTCCAACCCAGCTTTGAATAGGCTTGGTGCAGAACACCAGTACTAGGAAAAGGTAGCCGTTACTATAAGGGGTCCTGTAGGGTCTGTGAACACACAGAGTCCGCTTTAAAGACTGGCACATGTAAGAGTTTGCCTGCTGGAGTGCTCACATTTGAAGGCTTTTGTATATACACTATATTGCCAAAAGTATTTGCTCACCTGCCTTGACTCACATATGAGCTTAAGTGACATCCCGTTCCTAATCCATAGGGTTCAATATGACGTCGGTCCACCCTTTGCAGCTAGAACAGCTTCAACTCTTCTGGGAAGGCTGTCCACAAGGTTTAGGAGTGTGTTTATGGGAATTTTTGACCATTCTTCCAGAAGCGCATTTGTGAGGTCGCACACTGATGTTGGACGAGAAGGCCTGGCTCTCAGTCTCCGCTCTAATTCATCCCAAAGGTGTTCTATCGGGTTGAGGTCAGGACTCTGTGCAGGCCAGTCAAGTTCATCCACACCAGACTCTGTCATCCATGTCTTTATGGACCTTGCTTTGTGCACTGGTGCACAGTCATGTTGGAAGAGGAAGGGGCCAGCTCCAAACTGTTCCCACAAAGTTGGGAGCATGGAATTGTCCAAAATGTCTTGGTATGCTGAAGCATTCAGAGTTCCTTTCACTGGAACTAAGGGGCCAAGCCCAGCTCCTGAAAAACAACCCCACACCATAATCCCCCCTCCACCAAACTTTACACTTGGCACAATGCAGTCAGACAAGTACCGTTCTCCTGGCAACCGCCAAACCCAGACCCGTCCATCAGATTGCCAGATGGAGAAGCGCGATTCGTCACTCCAGAGAACGCGTCTCCACTGCTCTAGAGTCCAGTGGCGGCGTGCTTTACACCACCGCATCCGACGCTTTGCATTGCACTTGGTGATGTATGGCTTGGATGCAGCTGCTCGACCATGGAAACCCATTCCATGAAGCTCTCTGCGCACTGTTCTTGAGCTAATCTGAAGGCCACATGAAGTTTGGAGGTCTGTAGTGATTGACTCTGCAGAAAGTTGGTGACCTCTTCGCACTATGCGCGTCAGCATCCGCTGACCCCGCTCCGTCAGTTTACGTGGCCTACCACTTCGTGGCTGAGTTGCTGTCGTTCCCAAACACTTCCATTTTCTTATAATACAGCTGACAGTTGACTGTGGAATATTTAGGAGCGAGGATATTTCACGACTGGATTTGTTGCACAGGTGGCATCCTATCACAGTTCCACGCTGGAATTCACTGAGCTCCTGAGAGCGACCCATTCTTTCACAAATGTTTGTAAAAACAGTCTGCATGCCTAGGTGCTTGAATTTATACACCTGTGGCCATGGAAGTGATTGGAACACCTGATTCCAATAATTTGGATGGGTGAGCAAATACTTTTGGCAATATAGTGTATAAATGTGTGTTTGGAGCAGATGGGTACAGGCAAGCCTTTGTGAGGCTTTTGGGGAGGAGAATGAAAATCCACTAAAGATGTCAGCAGGCAGCTGGCAGAGAAAATGGCTAAAGAACTTAGGGTAAAGAAAATTAAATGAGATCAGCATAAACAAGCCAAGCTGGGTCTTTGCAAGAGTGCTGCTGTAATTTAGTTTTATAACACGATCAGGCCAGGTTTTTGTGTTTTCTGAAAGCTGGGCGGCTTTGGTTGTAACAGCAACAACAAAAAATCTACTACCAAACTGATACTGAATAACACTTCATTTGAATTCTTCATAAGGGTAAAGTTATTCTGCAGTGGTTCAGAGCTGGAGTAAAAATGCGCCCAAGAGACCAAAGCTTTTTTTTTTGTCCTCGGCCCCAGCAGAGATTACACAACTATTTCTGTATGATCTGTGACATACAGTGACTAATAGTCAACAACCTCTGGTGTCAGACTATAAAAAAAATGTTATTTTAATGATGAGTTATTATTAAATGTTATTATAATGACTGAGAGAAATTCCCATGAACTTAAACATGTTATGGAATAGCATGTACCATGGCAACCTGGCAGGGGTACATGCATTAGTTTTGTTTTAATGTAAATTGCTAAAATTATCCAAGTATGACTGATAGAGATGTTTTGATTGAACTCAGAACCTCTGGATTCCAAGCTCTATGCCCTAACCACTAGGCTACTACTGGTGATAAATCCTGATTTTCAACATTGCAGTTCCTAATATTGATTTTTTTTAAAAACCAAATATTTTTACCTAAAACAATGAGTGTAAATGGTCTCCCTCTGCACCCCCACTCTGATGTGGCGCTGCGTCGCCACATCTGTAGTTGAGGCGGTCAGAGTGGATGACGTGGACTAACTCCATAACAGCATGGATACCAAACTAACTAAATGATAAAAATCTCCTGATGAACATTTAGAGTATTTGCTTCTTCATCTATGAATTTCATTATGATAGCTGGGAAAAATATTCTGATATAAAGTGATATTGCAATATTGTGATAATATCGTGTTGTGACACGTATTATATCCAATACCATAGCAACAAGCTGTCTTATTAAGTAGCTGCCTATAGATTAGTTATTATGCAGCTGTAAGTAGATTTTGGAAATCAAGGAACTTAAAAAATAATTATAGCAGAACGCTTAAATAATATTTTTATTAACATGACAACTTCGAACGTGATTTATCAGCAGCATCACTGATATTTCTTAAATAAGTATGCAAATAAATCCCAATTTAATAACTCCAATGTTCTGCGGACATGGCATCAAGCGCATCCATGGTAAATGGGTCCAACAAGGCCAACAATAGAAGCTGCCTTGTGGCAAGAAGGTTCTGGATTCGATTTTCGGCCTGGGATCTTTCTGCATGGAGTCTGCATGTTTTCCCTGAGCATGTGTGGGTTCTCTCTGAATACTCTAGCTTCCTCCCACAGTCCAAAAGCATGACTGTTAGGTTAATTGGCTTCTCTAAATCCTCCTTAGATGTGAATGCTGCTGCCATCAACACCTTTGTTTCTAGATGTTGGAGCTTGGCCTGTTTTCCAGTGTAGTCCTGTTTCTCTGACTGTGACTAACTGGATGTGCTCTCTTCATCCTCTGACATGGGAGCTGGCTCGGAGCTCGTCTGCCTGGCTGTGTTTCTTGCAACGGGCCGCCTTTTAGAGCTGCTTTTCGTATCTCTGCTTCTGTCTCCTTGAACCCCAGTGGGCCTCAGCAGATGGCCGCTCACACTGAGCCTGGTTCTGCTGGAGATTTCTTCCTGTTAAAAGGGAGTTTTTCCTCTCCACTGTGGCTACAAGCATGTTTAGTATGAGGGACTGCATTCGAGTCAATGAGTCGATGCAATCAACTGGTTTAGAAAAAGGAACTTCGAATGGAGATAGTCTGGACAGCAACAACACTCAGTTAATCCACACAGGAAGCCTTAGATAGAAAACTTTGAATTAATTTGACTATATGATCTTGTGAACTGTAAAGTGCCTTGAGATGACATGTGTTGTGAATTGGCGCTATATAAATAAACTGAACTGAAATTGAGTTGAGTGTGTGAATGGTTGTGTGTCTTTGTGTGTCTCTGTGTGGCCCTGCGATGGACTGGCGACCTGTCCAGGGTGGACCCCGCCTCTTGTCCGTAGACAGCTGGAGACAGGCACCAGTACCCCTCGCCACTGCGCTTGGGATAAGCGTGATGGAAAATGGATGGATGGATGAATGGATGCTACATTCACACAGCATATGCTTTGAGCAGCAGGAGCGGTGCCTCATGAACTTCTAAAGTGCATGAGACACCGCCGGTATGTGGGGGTCTGAGCGGCTCCCACAGAGAAATAAAAAATAGATTCAAACTAATTTTTACCCACTGATCACAGCTAATGTAGCAAAGCTGCTCTCTGGCATTGAACACAGGAGCAGCAGAAGCATCAGACGCATCCGAACACACTTTAAAGGTTGGCTGACCTTAATGTGGACAAGCATCAAAGATGAAGCAGCAGATTGCTGCCCCAAATCGCAGTGTGAACTCAGCATTATATTCAAGATGGACTTTGTCGATACTCGAATGCCAACAACATCCAGCTCAGCTTAGTCGCCAATGGCGACTCCACATACGGTGGAAACAATTAGAAATAAAAAAAAAACCTTGTCAAGTCAAGTACAGACATGAGCAAATAGAACAAGCAGAAGATTACTGCAGCTCTATGTTTTGCCACAGGTGGCAGTATCATTAGAAAACTCTGTTAGGCCTTTTTATTTGATATGGTTGAATTTTCTCTATAAAGAGCCTTGAGATGACAGGTGTTGTGAATTTGCACCACATAAATAAACTGAAGTGAATTGAGCAATGGAACCCCAAGAATTGCATTGGTGGAAAAAGAGTTGATAGATAAATTTTATCAATTAGTTGCTTAGCCCTAGATCTGAATACAGTATCAATATTTTTGACAACCCTAATAAAAATACTGATTTAAATGAATCAGCTGAACTTAAATGACCCATGAAGACCAAATGCATGGTCAGGAGCAGAAATGGAAAAAAAACATAGTTGATCAAAAACCTAAAGCGAACAGAGGAGCATTCATTTAGAAAAATTTTAAATTTTTTATCCAGAAGTGCAGATATTAACTTTGATTAACCTCACACACTACTTTTCAGTACTGAATAAACAACATTACTAATTGTTAATGTAAGTTGTCGATTATTGCTGTGCATCTTCATGCCCTTTCTTTCTATCTCCAGGAGGACCAAGGAACAGCTGTGCATCCTGACTGAATCTTAACTCTGTGTGCCAAGATGAGTTGGAGGGGACTTGAGTGGAAGCTTCTCTGTTGACACCTGAGATCTCCAGATTTGAATGCCCCTTTCCTGAAGATTATTTTACGTATCTCTTCTTGTGGCATTGAAGCTCCTGTCTGTTTCTCCTGTCACTATGGCCAGCCTCGTGATCAATGAAACTGGAATGGAGGATTGTGGGATTGATGACTCCTTTAAGTACAACTTATACTCCACAGTTTACAGCGTGGTCTTTGTTTCGGGCCTGATAACCAACTGCGCAGCTCTCTTTGTGTTCTGCTTCCGGATGAAAACATGCAATGAGACCACAATGTTCATGACTAATCTCGCATTTTCTGATTTGGTTTTCGTTTTTACACTACCGTTCAAAGTCTTCTACAATGTGAACCGCAACTGGCCTTTCGGAGACGGTCTCTGTAAGGTTTCAGGCACTGCCTTCATCACCAACATCTATGGCAGCATGCTCTTTCTCACCTGCATCAGCGTGGACCGCTTCCTGGCGATTGTCTACCCATTTCGCTCACGCTCCATCAGGACACGCAGGAATGCTGCGCTCGTGTGTGCCGCTGTGTGGCTCACTATAGTGGGCGGAGGAATATCGGTGACTTTCTTCTCTACCATCAACAGCCGGCACAGAGCCACCACATGCTTTGAGGGATTCTCCAAAAACACCTGGAAGACCTACCTTTCTAAAATCACCATCTTCATTGAGGTAGACTGAACTGTTCTGTGACAAATATACACACTACTAAGACATCTAAAGCAACATCACCAAGCTTCATCTTTTACAATAAAGTGTAAAATACATTTTGCTAAGTTAGAACTATGGTGTATTTATTAGGATTTTTATGCTTCTAAAACAAGCAGATAATATATTTTTTCTTTACATGCTTCTACATGCCTACAGGAATCCTACCTAGTCTGAAAAAATAGTTTACTGCTGTATAAGGACCCTTTGTAAAGCAAGAGCAGCAGATTTCTCCTCATTAATAGAGGAGAGTAAGAATAATCCTAGATATCTTTTTAATACAGTTGCCAAACTCACCCAGAGCCATAGCTCTGTTGAACCGTCCATTCCACCTGCTCTTAGCAGGAATGATTTTATGGGATTCTTTATAAATAAGATTGATTCTATTAAAAATAGGATCATTAGCACTCCTCTATCTATGATTGGTTTGTCTCTGGAGGGGGGGCAGCATCTGGGGTAGTCATGGAATCTGAACCGGGTTTAGACTGCTTTGATTCAGTTGAACTTTCAGAGTTAGCAAAACTATTGTCTTCATCTAAGCCTTCAACTTGGATGTTAGATCCAGTTCCAACCAGGTTATTTAAGGAGGTATTCCCTTTGATCTCCTCCTCCATTTTAGATGTGATTAATCTATCTCTGTTACAGGGATATGAACCAAAGGCTTTTAAGGTTGCTGGAATTAAACCTTTGCTTAAGAAACCGTCTCTTGACCCAGATGTCTTGGTCAATTATAGACCTATATCCAATCTTCCTTTCTGATCTAAAATTCTTGAGAAAGTAATTGCCAAACAAGTTTGCGATCACTTCCATCATAATGAACTTTTTGAAGAGTTTCAGTCTGGCTTTAGAGCTCATCATAGCACTGAAACAGCTCTGGTGAAAGTCACTAATGATATTCTCATGGCCTCAGATAATGGACTTGTATCTGTGCTCGTCCTGTTGAATCTCAGTGCTGCATTTGATCCAGTTGATCATAATATTCTTTTAGAAAGACTTGAATATTTTGTTGGAATTAAAGGAACAGCACTAGACTGGTTTAAATCTGATCTATCTGATCGAATTCAGTTTGTTCATGTTAATGACAGATATTCCTCATGCTCAAAGGTTACCTGTGGAGTACCACAGGGATCAGTGCTAGGACCAATTCTCTCAACTTTATACATGCTCCCAATCTGTAGAATTATTAGACAGCATGGGATTAATTTCCACTGTTATGCTGATGATACCCAGCTATATCTGTCTATAATCCAGATGAAGCTAACCCATTACATAGATTACAGGCATGTCTGAAGACATAAAAACCTGGATGACTCTTACCTTTCTCCTTCTGAATGCAGACAAAACAGAAGTTATAGTCTTTGGATCAGAGTCTTTGAAAAAGAAGCTGATTAGTCAGTCACTTCATTTGGATGGGATTAAACTGATTTCAGATGATAAAGTAAAACATCTTGGTGTTGTTTTTTAAACAGGACCTGTCATTTAAATCCTAGATCAAAGAGGTTTCTAGAATTTCCTTCTTTCATCTGAGGAATATTGCAAAAATGAGCAATCTCCTGTCCAGGGGTGATGCTGAGAAACTAGTCCATGCATTTGTTACTTCAAGGCTGGACTATTGTAATTCTTTACTATCAGGAAGTCCACAAACTGTAGTTAAAAGCCTTCAGCTGATCCAAAATGCTGCAGCCAGAGTTCTGATGAAAATGAAAAAGAGAGATCATATCTCTCCTATCCTGGCTTCTCTTCATTGGCTTCCTGTATCCAGAATATAATTTAAAATCCTCCTTCTCACATATAAAGCCTTAAATGGCCAAGCTCCATCTGATATCAGAGATCTGATTGTTCCTTTTGTTCCTAACAGAGCACTTCGCTCTCAATCTGCAGGTTTACTAGTGGTTCCTAGAATTTCTAAAAGTAGAATGGGAGGCAGATCTTTTAGTTATCAGGCTCCTCTCCTGTGGAACCAACTACCAGTTTTAGTCCGTGAGGCAGACACCCTGTCTACTTTTAAGGCTAGGCTTAAAACTTTCCTCTTTGATAAAGCTTATGATTAAAAACAGGGAGATGTTTACTTAGTCACTGGGTGAGTACAGAAGTAAGGTAATGCATGTTGAATTTTTGCCCTAATGTAATTGTTATCCAAACAGGTCTATTCACCTAAACTGATAGTCAGGCAGGCAGACAATCAAAAGAGCAGCCAGGAGTAAAATGTTAAGTCTTGTTAGCAGTATGGTCGAAGCCAAAAGGAGGAGACAGCAAAAACATTGAACTTTTTGACTTAGATGCAAATAGCTATACTAAAGATTGCACAATGAGACATGGTGGTGTAAGCATCTTGCTGAGGGAAAGCTTTGCTTGAGCAGAGACCGGAAGCTATTCAGGTTTAATGGAGAAAACAAAAACAACTAAAACAGAGATTCAACACTAATGGAGATTGCCTTTCCTACAGAATGTTACTGAACTTACAACCGAAGCGACATTCACATAATTTAAAGAGAATAATTTAGATTTATGGCTCAGTCAAAGTCTTGATCCATATTTATGAAATTTCTGTTCACCAACCAATGGGGTCTAATCCCTGGGGCCCTTAACCATGGGGAATTTGTTGCATGCCAACCCTTGATTCTTTCTCTTTTCCTTTTGCACATACAGGCCGAATCTTAAAAAAAAAAATTCACATTTTTACTGTTGATTTTTCCATCTGAGCGATAGAATCCCCTAAGAATCCCCTCTGCTGTGAGTGAATATGAGTCAATGCAACACTTCAAATTTTTATGTAAAACGAAACTCCTGGGAGAGAACCCTAATTTCCTTCTATTTCAAAATTCTGACTCACTTTGTATTGTTTTTTACATCATCCTGATAAAAAAAAATAGCTGCTTTACCTGACAAAATGTGCGCACATTTTAGAGAGATAGTACATTGAGAGGCACTGCATGTCTAATGATTTCCTTTCTCTTCACCTCAGATCGTGGGATTTCTTTTCCCCCTCTTGGCTAACCTGGTGTGTTCTTCCTTGGTTCTTCGGACACTTCGCCGCCCAGTCAGTGCCGGCCATGGCTGTGACAGCAAGAAACGTGTCCTGCGAATGATTGTCGTCCATCTAAGCATTTTCATCATCTGCTTTGTTCCATATAACTTCCTGCTCTTCCTGTATGCCCTAGTGCGAACCCAGGCTCTGGCTAACTGCAGCGTGGAGCGATTCGCCCGAACACTTTACCCTATCACCTTGTGTCTGGCCAGTCTCAACTGCTGCCTGGATCCTGTGGTTTACTACTTCACCTCAGAGAGCTTCAAGAAGAGCCTGACCATAGGCAGCAAAGGGTCAGGCTCTCGTCCTGAGAGCATCCCCCGAAGCAACAATGAATCGCAGGACACAATAGTCCCCAGAGACACTCAGTCGGTGTCCATTAACGGAAAAGACACCACAACTTCTGACAGCCAGCTATGACTCGTCACAGAACGGGCTCCACTTGAGCCCTGAACTTGCATGAAAAAGCAATCAGCTGTTTAATTGTGGAAGAGGAAAACAAATAGCTCAGGAGATTAGTTAAGTCCAGCGGCATGGCCTGGGCTTTATGGATTAATCCAGCAGTGGAGAAACCAGGAATGTATCTGTTTGTTTTAACACACACATCCATACCAGGACTCCTGTGATTGTTCTCAAAGAGCCACTGAGAGATACTCTAGTCACACAAACACACCAATCCTGCCATAGTATGGAGAATTTTACCCAAATTGTTGAAATAAGATTATTAGTGTAAGATGATCTTTTTTAGGTCTGAGCTTTTCCAGTGCTTTAGATGTGTGGTCAATTCTGGTCTTACTATAAAAGGCAGTATTATGTTGACCTGCTGGATTAAATGTTTGTCTGTTGAGGTTTCATTTCATTAAGTCTATTTTTTATTTTTCTCTAATGGTTCTTGGTATCATTTATTTCACCCAATTCTAATTTTTTTCACGCTGGTTCACCAAGTGGCTAGCAGAGCAGACGATCTTATTTTTTGAAGGAAACTGGCTTGTGTGCTGTGTCACAGGGCAAATGCTTATTATGACTTGAGCAATGGTCCATTGTTTGCTTGTGAATGAGGTCTCTTTACCCTAATCTGGCTTTAGACTGCAGATCTACTCAAAGTCTTTTACAGGCAGCAAATATGCTCACATTCCAAAGTATGGATGAAACTTTTGCCTGTTTACCCCAAAACTGCCATCTTGCACAATATTAATTGCTAAACTTTTGTGCATTACCAGGAGGATATAAAGTGTTGAATTTAAACACATTGATTGGTAATCTTCTCTTCTTCAGAATGATGGAGAGAAGCTTTTTATTCTGGCTTCATAGCATCTTCAGGAACAAACAAGCTGCTGCAGACATTCACATTTTAACCTAGAATTTCATTGCATTCTATAAGAAGATCAGAATGATCAATTAACATAGTTTAGATCAGGGATAAAGTTAGGGTGTACGTTTTTAAAGATATAAACCAAAAGAAAAGCTTAAGTTTTGGCCACTACTGTTAGTCATGTTCCTCATAAATCTGCTGTTTATGTAAGAGTAGCAGGAAGAAAGCCATTGTTGTAGAAAAAAGCATAAACATGAGATTAGCTTTTTGCTACAAGCCATTTAGACCCAGTAAACATATGGAAGGATAAGCGATGAAACCAAAAAGTGACTTTATTTGTACACGCTGAAAGAAATGAACTGTATTTTGGTCAAATTATATTTCTATGTTTTGACAATTTTAAATTTGTGATTCTGATCTGAAGCCATTTTTTCAGTTAACCTAGAATTAAAAAAAATCATACCATGGAACAAAATAGCTATTTATTAGATTAGTATTAATAAGTTAATATTTACTTGGTAACAATTAGACTATGTTCATACAGCCTCCTGAAGTCACTTTGTTTATATGTGATCTGGATCTGATCTTTTCAGGACAGTCTGAACAACACAGATCCAATGCGACCCACTGGGCTCTGTGGTTCTGAATCCGATACGAATTTGATCTCTTCAAATACGACCTGCGTCTGAATGGCCAGGTCACATTCAACTGACCTCAATGCCGTTAATTCTCAACAAAGTCATGATTCTGCGTCTTTCTATGCAGAAGCAGAAAGAAAAATAACCATGGAGGACGATGATGCGGAGAGCAGTCTTTATTTTCAACCTTCTTGAAAAGACTGTGTTATTGATGCGCTGGCCGAGGTTGAGAAAGAAACGAAAAATCGCAAATGCTGTTCTGCACCACCACCCATGTTTACTTTTGTCTTTCAAATCTTTATTTCAATTAAAGAATAAACCAGTACAGGAAACCACGTTCACTTGCATAAACACAGAGCATGCTCACTACTTGTGACGTCATTGTGTCCTCTACTGCACATGTGGAATACTAAAGTTATGTGCATTCACACAGGAGATCACATAAAGGTTGCATATATTTGAAAATGTGAACAAACACGAAAAAGAATCGGAGTTCATAAAAACTCTGAATTGATCATCAAGGCCTGCAGTGTGAACATAGCCTTGCAAATATCTACTTCTAGTTTAAATCCAAATGCCTCAAATTGGTAAGAGACACTTAAGCCACGGCGAAAGTTAGCGGACGGCCCAAGTGTAATCTGAATAGTGCTAGCAGTACGGAAGGATCTAGGATGGGGAAGCAGTCTGCATCCTAGCACTGATTCGGTTAGCATAGGACCTCCTGACCTAAATATAGTTTCCCACAATTCTAACAGAACATTTAGTCACTGCCCACTGAATACATATTTATAACGTTTACTTTGTGTGACACATGCTAAGATGAACATGTTCACCTCTTATAATAGGAGAGCTTCAGCCTTTGTCACCCAATAACCTCCATAAAACTGAAGCTGTCCAGATTGAACACAGCAGTTCCTTTTTTACCCCGGATAGTGTTCTTACTGTTGACCCTTGAAAAGGTGAAGGAAAAGGAGCTAGAAACAGCAGAAGCTTCAATTGAAGTCTTTGGATAGAGTCAAAAGTAATCGTATCAAATTACAGTGGAATCTGCTTATAGTGATCACATTGGTCCAAAGCCAGTTTGAACACTATAACGGTTGATTATCTGACTTTAACACTATTTCACTTATTTTTTATGCAAAATATCACATAAATGACATTTCTGTGGTTTTTCAATGGTGAAAACTGAAATGAAATGGACAGCTTCCGCATTTACTGAATTTTATTACAGTACCATACAGGTTTATATACAGTATACTGGGCTGGTACTCTGGTAGCCTGGTGCCGCCGGTGCGGTTTTGTTTTTAACAAGTCTTAACTTTGAAACAAATGGTTTCATAGAACAACAGTTGCGCAGTGGTTAGCGCACACGACCCACGTATGGAGGCCTAGTCCTCGACATGTGGTTCGAATCTGGCCTGTGGTCCTTCCCCGTATGTCTCTCCCCCCCTCTCATACCCCCTTTCCTGTCAATTCAATTCAATTCAGTTTATTTATATAGCGCCAAATTCACAACACATGTCATCTCAAGGCACTTTACAGTTCAACCAGATCATACAGTCAAATTGATACAAAGTTTTCTATCTAAGGAAAACCAGTTGATTGCATTGACTCAAATACAATCCCTCACACTGTCAGCATACTGTCCATTAAAATGAGCCACTAGTGCTGTAAAAACTCCAAAACATAAATAAATAATAACATTGATACATTTAGCTGTAGCTTATATGAGTCTTTTTTTAATAACTAAGCTGTTTTTTTGGTGATGGAAAAATTCTGTTGTTCATGGTGGTGGCAGTACCATGTTCTGGATGTAATGATAGATCATAGATATTTGTTAGACCCAATAGAGAATGAATTAAAATAGGTAGAGAATAGAACCTGCTAGAAGATGCTCACCATCCTACAGGAGAACTCCGAACATGAAGTCAGAGACAATAAAGTGGAAGGTTAGTGGAAGTGGCCTAGTCAAAGTCTAGACCTAAATACAAAAAGTCATCTTTTGAAAGAAATGATTATTATTAAGACTGTTTTCAAATTGAAAAGGTTATGGAAATGCAAACGGTAACGTTTTGCAAACCTCTCCTTACTTTTAGCGAGTCATGATGTCTGATACAATACAATTAACAATTTCTAACAGCATTTTTTTAAACAAACAAAAATAAAGACAAGAAAGTTTAAGTGAAATATTTTTTCAAGCTACTGCAGTGGTAAATCTGATCAAGTTCAGCCTTTTGAAAGTCTGAAGCTTAAATGAGGGTTTAGTTTTATCACTTGGATATGAAATATGAGATGCTGACATAGGAGAGGTCTATTATAAATGTTTGTTAGGAGCTTTTGGTCTCTAATAAAAGTTCTTCATTGTATCAATAAACCCGGGGTACAAAGTAAAGTGTTGATTGTAGTGATGTAGATCTGCTTATTTGCCAGCTTTCTAAGCACTAATCCTTCAGCAGGACTTATTGTTTTGGAGGAAAACATGCAGCTGTCCACTCAGAGTTGCCTGTTTGCAGCCTTTTTGTTAATCCTTCATTCAGGAATATATTTCGCAGTGGTATGATAATTAAATGGGTGAAATTATCTATTTATACCAACATAATGTGATGTTTCAACCAGAGAGAAACATAAAAGCAAATGCTTTGTGGGATCCAGGGTCAAAGGTGACAGCACAGGAATGGGTAGAAGGACGGGAAATAAAAGGGAAATGAATAATGAAGCATACAGGAAAACTAATGTTGATGTTAGGAATTAAATTGTTTGGCTGAAAGCGATCAGCTGCTTGCTCTCCAAGTATTTCTTGCTAAAGGAGCAGTGACTTTGTGGCAGCCTAGGGTGACATCTAGTGGCTAGAATGCAGAATCCATGAGTTTCCTTTCAAAGCTCCTGAACAACAATCTAAGTTGGAAAAGCAGCATATCAGATGTCAGACGTTGGTTTGCTTCTCTAAATTTGTGCAATTCTTGATCCACACATCATAAGAACTTCCTAAAAAAGGAAAAATCTCAACAGGACTTTTTCTGGTAATTGAAATTAATAAAATAAATATTAGCAACCTAAATTAGTGCATTGAAAAAGCCAGAGATTCACGCTGTTACAGACGAACCTTTATCTTCTGTCTGAGTGCCACACTGTAACGAATATAACTGCTTAGAGCATTTGATTATTTGTTAAGCTGTTTCAAAAAAAGGAAGTGGTGAGCGAACAGAGGAAGCCAATGAACATCATTTTAATGATGCAATAATCTAGAGTCAACATTTATGTTGTTTTACAACTCAGCAAAGTCTGCATACGGTTTGTAAGGAGAAAGACTAAAGTAGTAGATCTGCTCAGAAACTTGCTGAAGGGATCTTGACAGTTATACAAACTGTGTTTTGCAGTGATCAGTTTGACTTTGCTGTTTCCTAACCACACGTGCATGAGGCTTGGTTATTTGCTCAGTTGCTAGGGAGTTATTGACGTCTCAAACAGTTAAAAAAAATACCACGCCAGACATACAGGGCAGAGCTTCCCCTTCCCCTTCACATTTCGCCTCTGAAAGCAGATGCATCTCCTCTAGCACTTACGAAGACAAACCACATCAGTTAGAGGGATTTGCTGCCTTTACTGGCCCAACGGACACATTGCTTTGTCTGGTGTCAAACACACATGTAAGAGGAAGGAGGGGAAGCATTGGTGATTGCTACTGTGCAGCTCAAGGAGCATTGCTGTATGAAGATGCTGGAGCATGTGGACCCGCTCACTCCTATGTTCTCGACTCCCTTCAGTTCCCACTTATGATTTAAGGAGAAGGCAAACCTGCAAAAGGTAAAGATTCACGTTTTCTATAAATAATAATGATAATAATAATCTGCAAGGAAGTTTGGGCATCTGTTTGTGGTTTGGCATGTTTTGAATTATGTTGATGGTTATGTCTTTCTGTTCTTAGAGTTAAACCATAATATGGTTAAAGGATGTCATCTTTACTGTGTTTTTTACAAAATCTTACTTTACCAGGAAAAGTTAAAGTGATGAAATGAACCCTACATTTTCTAAGAAGCAGATCTGTTAATGGATCTCAGATAGATGTTAAACCTGAAACCAACACGAAAAACGTTAAAAACCAGTTCAAGTTGCAGGAAAGAAACCAAAAGAAAATAACTGTCATTATTTTTCTCTTCCTCTTGTGGAAGCAGCATAGGAAGGGTGTGGAGCCATGTTGATGGCAGAAGGAAGGATGATGCGGCTGATAATCTATAAAAAAAAAAAAACATCAAGCTATTACAATTAGATTTCCTGCTGCAGTTTTTATCAAAGTTTCATCTGCTTGATTCAATGTCAACACTTTGATGCAACGCTCCGTTCTAACCAGGTTATAATTGCTGACACAGTTTGCTAAATGCATTGACGGGTCAGCAAAGCTTCAGCGGATCCTCCAGCTGAGTGACAGTTGGTTTTTATCTAGTTTATCAGGGCAACCACTCCTATGGACTGTTTAGACAACCTAGTCTTAAGTAACTGGGGGGTAAACAACAGAATAAATAGACAGTATAAATGTTTAATACTAAAAGAAAGCAACACCTGAGTATTGCTGTTATAGATGCACATAGTTGGTATTGCTGTTTACTGTCTATATTTGTATGAATCATCTAGTGTTACTAAATTTAATCAAACAAACTAGTATGTAGCTTATTTAGAGTAAAGCTGTTCATAAGTTTTTGTTTCAACAGCAATGTGCAAAAACAACCTTAGTGCAACAAATAAAATGACTTGAGGTCATATTTGTGAATAAGAAGTGGCTCACAAACACCTGGATAAATAAAGGTTAAATAAACCAGTGAAAATAATATATTAAATTGTACAAAAGATTAATAAAATATAATATAATACAAAAATGTATCTCTAAAGAACGTTTGTCTTAGAGTTGTCCCTCATCCTTCCTCCTCTGTGTGTCAATCTGATCCCAAGGCCAGTCTTTTTTTTTTTTATAAAGTATGATTTTTAAATAGAATTATAAAAAACAAAAAAACACTCTAGTTTCCGCGAGGCCCTAAAATTTAGGGCTTAAATGATCACTTAAAGTTGAAGTAGAAATGAATAGAAAATATATCGCAACTGCTGTGTCATTGCAACTGTGTTCATCTCTTGATAATTGTGCCACTTCAGTTCGGTTTGAAACACTGGAGGATTGTGTGGAAATGTACCTCATTCAGTAGAGGAGGAGTGATGCTGTGGGCCTGTTCCTTCCACAGCCTCGTAAAGGCAGTTAAAATACAAAAGATTGTTTTCCTAATATCAGTAAACTGAGGAGATAATTATCTTTTGTACGGCCAAAATGTTTTGAACCTAAAGCTGAACCTAAACGCCCAGCAATGAAATATTGTTTCTAGTGTATATTTTCTAAAGTTCCTCATATCTCTGATGTTAGATTGTTTTTAGTTCTGTTTTTAAATGTCTTTAAAAAAATAATGCTGCAGGCTAACCTTTCTACACAGTGCAGGACTCCATGTTAAAAAGCTTTATGGGCACAAATGTTTGAGTTTGGCAAATAAAAAAGAAAGAAAAAGAAATCTGCCTTCTTTAACGGATGTAGAGAAACCGGTTTTGAAGCAGATGTTCTGCTGGCAGGATGTGTTCCTGTTAACGGAGCAACTCACACCTGCTCACTAGGAAAGTGAAAGTACACGTGTTGATGTGCGCTTTATTTCTGGTAACGGCCCTATTTGGTTTCACAGGATTGCACTTTCACTACCAACGACAAAATGTGCCTGAGGTTATATTAAGTTTGTTTGTTATTGATTAAAATGAAAGCTTCACATTTAGTGAGCTTTTAAAGTTTGCTCAATAATTAACAGTGTTCATTTATTTAGACTTAGGGCTTTGACACTTCTGTTTTCTCTTTTTTCAGTTGTGATGAGTAGCAACATGAAGTGAAATAGTCTGCTTTCCCAGAGTGTTTTTATTAGAACAGCATAATGACTGTAAGCAGCAGTCAATCAGCAGACCGGCTCTCAGCCAACCTCTCTTCCCCGTCGTGTGACTATAATTTAACCAGCTGGGATCAATCTATGGACACCATGTACACCTACTTCTACCTGCTGCTCTTCATCCCGGGGCTGCTTCTCAACACCACGGCTCTCTGGGTCCTCTGCAAACATTTCAGGTCAGTCAGAAAATACCAAAGGTTTAAAAGATTACTGGAGATTCAGATATTTAAGACAAGTTGAAAGAGAATATTTGCTTCATCTTTATATAACATTGCTTAATGTCCTATTCAAAGATTATATTTGGATGTGTTAAAGCAAAGGGGAAGTCTTGCACAGTGTTGTATGATTCTGCAGGAGCAAACCCACTTTTCTGCTTATTGTTTCAACAGCAAGAAGACCAAGGCAGTGATCTTCATGATAAACCTGGCTTTGGCAGACCTGGTGCACATCCTCTCCCTCCCCCTCAGAATTTATTATTACTTCACCCACACGTGGCCATTTGGACAAAGCCTTTGCTTGCTCTGCTTCTATCTCAAATACCTCAACATGTACGCCGCCATTTTATTTCTGGTAAGACTGTAGTTAGCACATTTTTTCAGGCCCCTGAAACTTTGATCTTGTCATTTTAAAATCCTATAATCCCACATATCTGGGGGATTTAATGTGATACACTAAAGGAAGAATTCACAGAATTGCTTTTGACAAAAAAATGTAGTCAAAAGCCAGGATATGAATTTGTGTTCATGCCTCTGTCACCTGCTCTCTATAGACTCAATTTGTGGTCCATTTTTCCTAGGAAATTACTTAAATTTTGTTTGCAGTTCCCCAGAAAATATTGAGTTAAAATTGTTTTCCTGGATTCTCATTTGGGGAATGTTCACACCATGAAAGTCCATAAAATGACCAGGTGCATGGAATGGAGGAAAACTGCATGAAGCCGCTCAGCTCTGCAGAATTAATTCCCTGCTGAATCTCCATGTGTCTCATTCAGTGAAGGTTTTATGTCTCATGTTTGACTAATTCCTGCATTCTGCTGGCTAAAGGAGATCCACAACATGCTGGAAGCTGACTTGTGAAGAGAAAGACGAGTCAGAAAAGATTTTAATTGTATTGTTGCTTGGGTCTTAACTAGAGGAAAAAACTTAACTGCTGTCTGGTTTGAAGTGGCTGCGATGGACAGGTGACCTGCCCAAGGACCCACCTCTGGTCCATAGATAGCTGGAGATAGGCAGCAGCACCCCTCGCCAACCCACCTGGGATAAAGTGTGACGGAAAATGGATGGATGGTGGGAAGTGGATGGAGACCAATGTAGAAAGTGGGTTTTGGTCTGGTTCTTAGATTCTATTCACATCTGCTCAAAAGGAGAAAGAAGGCAGAAAACCAACCAGTCTGTTTAAGGTAAACCCGTCATGGAAACCTTAGATTTAGATCTGGGGTCTAGTTTACAAAACATTTGCCTGAACTTGCCAACTTACAGGTTCTCTCTCTTTTTTTTTTTTTAGTAAACTACAGCTGCTGACCTTTTAAAATCAACATCTAATTGAGTCTCTGCCTGAAGCCACTTTTAGGAACTGAATAATTCTGTGAATTTATTGAAAAATCAGAGAAATCCCAATCAGCTGCCTGGATGTATGTTAATCTGAACAGTCGGATCATCGGACCAAAGGTGTCATTGATAACTTCCCTTTAGCTGCTGTATTTAGCAAACATTCCACCTATAGGATGCCATTAGTAAAGTTAAACGGGTAGCAGTCACTTTGCTTCCTATTTAGGATGTTGCTGGTGATACAAAAGGGGTTGATTTTTTTAAATTCATTTGCTGTAATTCTCAGTTTTCCACCACTCCATCCATTCTTATGAAGCCAAAAAATGGTGTTTGCTGTCTTCTTCTGAACGGTTGCTGCCAGATTTGTGTGTTGCACATCCTAGAGTTTTCCTTTTGACTGATTCTTCCACTGCAGCTGTGGATCTCTGCACTTCTCTCAAGTTACCAAGAACCTTTTGGCTCCTTATGTGACTAATTTTCTGAATGTCGTGTCATAAATGTCTCCTGTTCAGTTTCCCAGCAAACCTGTAATCTGCGTTCTTTCTGTTTGAAGGTGTGCATCAGCCTGCAGAGGTATGTGTTCCTCCTCAACCCGTTTACTGCCCGTCGGTGGAGGCGGCGCTACGACCTGCTGATCAGTATAGCTGTGTGGGTGATTGTCAGTATCTCTTGCTCACCTTTCATCTTGATGCGGAGCAGCGGAAGCAGCAACAACAACACGCCCAGCAAAACTCTAAATGCAAACTTCACCCACCTTTCAAGCTCCACAAACCTCTACATGCAACCATCATTCACACCTTCCAGCATGTCACACCCCGATTCAGTAACCCACAAAACAAGCTGTTTTAAAGACCTGCCGATACGGAAGATCTCCATCCCTCTGGCTATAACCATGATGACAATGTGTGAACTGTTTGGATTCCTTATGCCCTTAATCTGCATCAGTTACTGTTCCTGCCGCATAGCTTGGTCCCTCAACCACAGGAAAACAGAGGATCAGCAGAACTCCACGGCTCCAAGCTCCTCCACTCGTAGCAGACTGCAGTCAATCACCTCCAACGGTCAGGGAGATAAGAACCATGAAAAGCATGTGAACAGTGAGAAGCGGCGAGCTCTGAGGATGGTCCTGAGCTGCTCTGCTCTCTTTCTGCTCTGCTTCACCCCGTATCACATCAACTTCCTGCTCTATCTGATGGTTTCGCAGGACTTTGTCTTCCACTGTGCCACCAGGCTGGCGGTCAAACAGTTTCACCCAGTGTCTCTGTGCATGGCAAGCATGAGCTGCTGCCTCAATCCGCTCCTTTATTACTTCCTTAATGCTGAATTCAGAATGCACCTCAGGCGCACCTCCTCTTTCTCCTCCTCTTTTGTCTCTTCTCCAATCAGCTCTCCAAAACATTGTGCTGCACAAGCCAGACTACTGAGGATGGAGAGTTCCTGTTCAGAGCGGGAATAGAGCAGGTCTGGGTCAGACGCCGCAGGCATTATAAAAGGATTTTAACTGGAGTTTATTCACATATAATTTTTTTAGTCTGCAGTCAAAAACTTAACAGTCTTTTACCAATATTTTGAGAAAAACAAGCAAAATATTCATATATTGCTTTTTAAATTGATCCACAAAGGTCTGAAAAGAGTTTTGTATTAATTTTTTATAAACTCTCCTTAAATGACTTCCTTTAAAAGCACCTTTGGTCCCCTGGGGTCCCAGTGTTGATGAGATCACTGAGGTAGACAGAGGTCAAAGTTGATCATGAAATGTAAGCTTCCCATTTAACAAATAGGTGGAAAATTTATTAACTGCCATAATACATGATTCAAAGTTCCCCATTTAATAATTAGAAATACATTGAAATGATGAATCAGTTAAAGTCCTTTAAGAGAATATATGTATTTAGTTATGAATATAGTTACCTCCCTGCGATGGACTGGCAATCTGTCCCAGGTGGAACCTCCCCCGTACACAGCTGGAGATAGACACCCCCCAAGCCCCCCCTGCCCCCCCCCCCCCCATTAAACGTGTAACATAAAGGATGGATGGATAGTTACCTCCCTTTATGTCTATAAACAGAGTGAAGTAATTCTATCTATTCTTTATGTGTTTACTGTTAGTTTGGCTACTTATCCCTGATATGGATTTTTTTTCTCAGTTCAGCCTCACACAGATGTGATGGAAGACATTTCTGAATCAATCCAAAGAGTTTATATGTGGACCTGAGCCTGAGCAGACTTCCATTTAATTACAGTTTCTATTGTTTTAAGGCCACTAACTGGTTTTTCTCCAGGCATCACTTTTTGGCTCCATCCATCAGTTCCAACCAGCCTGCTGTTAGTGATCAGGGACTGACTGATCACCAGAGTTCACTAAACGAAGGGCATTCTTTTTGGATTTGCTCGTTGCTTTAGTTTTCCAGCAAACATTATGTTTAATTGAATGGTACAGATCTAGGTATTTTCTGATCAGCACGGTTGCTGTGTCCCCTGGAACAGTGGGCCCTCACCATGGTCCTCAGGTACCATAGTCCTGCATGTACAAGTATCCCACAGACACATCTGCACTTCATGGTTTTCTGGCAAAAGTGTAATTAAACTTTTCTTCAATGAAAACTTAATTTATGAGACCAAAACTAACTAATAGTGATTTGGGTAACACTTTGAACTGAGCTGTAGATCTCTGCAGCTCCTCCTAGGCTGCCATAGGCCCCATGGATCATTTCATGATCAATGGTCTTTTTTTCAGTCCTTAGGAGGAAAGTTGTGCCTTAATAAGCGGGTCGTTTTGCAAAGCTCTTCTGTTTTTAGATCTCCAAGGCTGTAGAAATCCCTTTGCTACACAAACCAGCTTTGAACTCCTAAACATCTCTTTGTTTGTTCTCCAACATTCTCTAACAAACCTCTGAGGCACTGACAGATTAGACCAGAGTTTACCCAGGGAAAGAACATGATCCTGGAAACCAAAGCTGTCCAAATTTCTATGTGAAAATCTCTGAAAAATTATCGTTTCAATTCAGTTTATGTCTATAGCTCCAATTCACATCATGTCATCTCAGGTCATTTTATTGAGACAATTCAACAGGATCATCCAGTCAGATTGATTCAAAGTTTTCTATCTAAGAAAAAACATGCTTGTAGTGACAGTGGAGAGGAAAAACTCCCTTTGAACAGGAAGAAACCTCCAGCAGAACCAGGCTCAGTGTGAGCGGCCATCTGCTGAGGCCCACTGGGGTTCAAGGAGACAGAAGCAGACATAGAAAAAGAAGCATAGATACAAAAGGCAACTGTCAACCAGCTCCACAGGCGGCCCCGTCCAGGAAACACACAGCCAGGCAGACGAGCTCCGAGCCAGCTCCCATGTCAGAGGATGAAGAGAGCACATCCAGTTAGTCACAGTCAGAGAAACAGGACTACACTGGAAAACAGGCCAAGCTCCAACATCTAGAAACAAAGGTGTTGATGGCAGCAGCACAGCTGATATTTCTCTCCAGGATGGAGTCACAGCCAAACAGGAACAGACCAGATGAAGCTACTATGAGAAAAAGCAGAGAGAGCAGAACGTTATTTAAATAATGTTAATTTCTCTTCCACATAAATATTTACTACTAAAACCAATCAATACATTGGTGGTTAAAAGGTGACATATTGTGAAAAATTTCTTAAGATATAAATAAAATGTCCTGTAGTCTTCATTCAGGTATTACTTTATCTATCTTATCCAAAGCGGGCGACACAGTGGGAGCGAGGCAGACTTTCCACCTGATAGTTTAAATGAACGATAAAAAATTTTAAGGTTCATATTGAAAAAGATTTTTTTTTTTTATCTTCCTGCTCTGACAAACTTTCACCAGAAGAGAGGAGGAATTGCAGTGATGACCACATGTTTCCTCCTTGTCCTCAAATGTGACGCGATTCTCATTCGGCCTTTCAGTCCACGATGCTGAACTTCAGCACACTGCTAACATTTCAAATAAGCTATTTTAAGAGAAGCTACTTGTCTGTCTATTGTACCTTACTGTAAATAAAAGTGATGCTTTCATATTGTTTTGCTTTTTGATCAGCACAAAATGATATACATATATATATATATATATATATATATATATATATATATATATATATATATATATATATATGAAAATGTTATTTTTTCCTCTGCTCTACTGTCCCCTTAGGAGTGTGTCTGTATTTGACAGTTGCTGTAGGCGATAACCTCTAGGGTAGAGGAGCTAAACCCCCTCCTTCTCTGCTCGGATGCATCTGCTAAATACCAAACCACCTCTGACATCAAACAAGGATCAACCCACCAAACAGCCTCTTACCTCTTATCTTCCTGCTGTGACACAGAAACACTTCTGCTTGTCTTTTACATAAAGCAACACTTGCTAACATAATCTGAAGCTAATGTGATTTTAATTAGCTTTTTTTATCTGTTGTGATCCAGCGAAGGGAGTCAGAGATGCTGGGTGATCATGAACACCAAAAAAAGACCACGTTGGAAATATAATAGTTATGATGCAAAAAAAAAAAAAAAGGAAGCCACACCCCTCCTCACACAGGAAGCCCTGTATGTGCTAAAATCCCCATTTCATAGTGGGGGCAGATAGAGACAGGCAGCCGATGCATGGCCACAATGTGATGAGAAGAAGACAGGATATCATCTTTTAAATATAAGATAAAGTGTTAGAAACAGCAGGCAAAGTTATTATGCTGGAGGAATAATTGAGAAGAGAGAGTGCCGCCTGAAGCTTCATCCTTCTGCTTTTTGAGGCTTAGACAACGTGAAGTTTCAACAAAGAGGTGAGACCTAAAGCTAAATGTTCACTTTTCTTAATGAATAATGTTTTGTGAGAAACAGCTGGATGTTTTAAGAGTGGAGTCATGTCTCATGGGGGATCTCGTTCGTTACTCCAAAATGAGGAATGCCTGTTATGTTTTAGAACCAGGCATTCGGTTTCACTTTGTATCCAAATTAAGAGTTTTATCTGAGTTACTTCTGTTTGATCTATTAAAAAATCCCACATGGAGGGACCTGGGTTCCTGCATAATGATCATGACTTAATGGAAGAGGTGTAACCCCATAGCCGCCCACAAAGAGGTGAATCACAGTTGGTGATGTTTCCATTGAAAGGCTCTCAGGGTTAAAACTTTTCAGGTTAAATGTGGTTCTCTGATAACAATCCTGCAAATGAAACTCTTCAAAAGGACATAAAGTATGTTGCTATTATTCCTGTTACCCTTCATTTATCTGCAGAGGGTTTACATTTTCACATTCATACCCCAAAGAGGAAATGAAAGCTAGTTGAATAACTGCCTGAAGACGATATACAGTCTATAATTTTGTCAAACCTAGAAAGGAGAGCAGACAGTCCATTAAATAAAATGAACGGTCAGTAGAAATAAAATGATTCTCCTCACTTAAAGTCCACTGGAAGCTGTCGTTGAGGGCTTTGTCTGAAAGGAGCAGAAAAGGGTCCTAAAGAAATCAGAAACCCTCAGTTTATGCTTACATTTTAAAATCCATATATGATGTTAACATTTCCTTTTTCTAATACATTCAGCCTTTTAGCTAATTTTAATAATTTCAATGCCCAAAATCACAGAGACCAACAGAACAAGCAAAACGAAGCGTAAAGTGATGAACAACAATGGTGTAATTTTAACAACAGAGACCTTGGAAATCCGCTTTAATTCAAGCCGTTGGTATTTTTAAGCAAAAGTTTGTAGGCTGTCTTGCTCATTCACGCCTTTTCCTTCTCCAGCCATCTTTTTTTATGCACATTGCAGATCAAAGCATGTTCATCTCTGAGACCAAAAACATGTGAATGTGGCACCTTCACCCATTTACAAATTGCATCCAAATTTATCTCAAACTATATGCTTTATATCAGAGTCTACAATTTTTCGGCCTTCTCCTTATTTTACAGAAAGTGGCCAAAGGTCTAACCCCATGGCTTTTAAATCTAGTCTGAATGATAAGCTAAAGAATCTGACCAGCAGGCCTTAAAGCTCTGGCAGTAAAATGTTGGAGGGCAAAGTGTTCTTACTGTCTTCTTACTATCAACCACATGAAGGGAGAAGGAACAGGAGCTAGAGGCTACAGGTTGGTGCATTCGGATCAGGACAGAGTGTTTCAGGTTTTCCTTTAAATCACCTATAGGTGAATCTAAAATCAGTGCAACTTTTTGTAAAAAAAAAAAAAAACAACAACTATGAAAAGCTACTAAAGACATGACATCAACATTTGGGCATTTCCAAACTGTTTTCTAGGATTTATGGTCCTTAAGTATGTAAAATAGTGAATAGAAAGAAAGAAATAAATCATTTTCATAAACAATCTGTCTCTCATTGTTTTGGTATTTAGCAACTAAGATCTAAAATTCATAACTGACTGTGAGGGGGAAAAGTATCTGTGTTTATGGGTGTATGTAAACTTCTGGACTCAACTGTATTTGGCAAAAGATCAGCAGTTTTGAACCTCATCAGGCATCTTACCAACAGCTGCCACCCCAACCAAAAACAGGAAACTAAGATGCTTTTTGAATTTCTAGATGGTAACAACTAGATTTAAGCTCCAGCCTCTATCTCACACTTTCTACCCTAAAAAACTGTCCAAATTTCTAAGTAGCAGAGGTTTGTTTATTATCTTGGCTCCTCCCCCTCAAACTTGTTCAGTTAACTCTTAAAAGAGGCCAACTCCAAGCATGGAAACTTCCACGGCAACCTTTCGAACTTTATCTCAAGTATTCTGGAAAGCAGCCGCAGTAAAACAGAGAGTGGGTGAATAAACCAACAGCTACTTTCAGGGATGTTTCCCACTTACAGTATAATCTGCTGCTTTCCCCTGCAGAGTCAATAAAGACTATTTTATCAACAATACAATGTTTTTACTCCAGTCATTATTATTGCTATTCATAGAAGTAATAATAGGAGTTATTATAGCAGTAATAGTAGAGGCTCTATGGCTAGCAATGGTTTTCTAAATTGCACAATGTCTAAAAAATTTATTTTAATCTGTAGCCTATTTCTTTGTGCATCTGTTAGAAAATTCATCAGCAGTAGCAAATTTTCAGGTTGATAGAGGTGTAAAGCAAAAGTCACAGCTTATCAGTGGCCCAAAGGCCTCAGGTCGCCTGCAGTCTCCAGCAAACTATACATACAAAGAAGCATCTTATACCCAGCTAATCTGCAGAAATCTTTCAGAAAACTATTTATAACATTTATAAATCAGTGCCTTTTGGCTGTGATATCTACACATAATCAGTATAGGTTTGTAGACCAAATATCCTTCATTTTATCGTTAATAATTTTATTCTTTCACGTAATTATCTGTTTCTAATAATTCGTTTTATTCTCTATAATTTTTCATGTTCAGTAATTATTTCAGGGAGGTACCTATGAGAATTTGCGCACTTGGGCCTTGGTTTCGTACCGTTTGCCCACCGGTTGCCAGATCTGCTATAATGTGAACATTTTGTTAACATCAGCAAACATTTACTGTTCCTGTCCAGAAGGAAAGCAGAGATCTCTTGGTGGCTTCTAATTCTAATTCTTCTAATTGCTTCCATAAGTTTGCACCAAGTTTCTCCCACTTTTGATTATTTTTTTTCTAATTGGGATAAATATGAGAAATGTAACAGAGAAGAAGCCATTTTCCAACTCTATCGCAGAGCTACTGGCTTCAGCTCATATGACTTTAACCTACTGTTCCCTTTGTGTCGACATTAGCAGCTTAACTAGAAGTAATTATATATATATTTCAGACCTTTCAAAATTTTGGAACAATTTCTAATACAAGGCCTGCGACAGATCGCCTCATCTTAGCTGTTGTTAACAAGTAGAGAAGCTTTTTAAATCAGATAGAGACTAACCCATGCCATGCAGACCCTAACCGATGCAGAGTTAGATAGCAGCCAAGAAATAGTCCTAATTCAATGTCTGAAACAGCGCCGGGATGGTTTCAAATTGTGGAAATAGTCTAACAAAACACATGCATAGTTTTACCAGCTTAAAAACATTTGAATAACATCCAACCTGTACAGTAAAGTACAGTACTACTTCTTCTGTGGTGCGTTCCTGGTCATCAGCTACGGATGGTGATGGAATCAATTGTTTTGATAAAGGAGTTTTAGCTATGACCTTTGTGTGACCTCTATGTTACTGTAATGTATTTTTCTTTGAGGATGGGTGGAAGCATGTGGGACTCTCTCCAACCCAAAAATGGTCCAGTCCTCCTGCAGCAGTCCTTCTCACCTGCAGGCAGAGGAGCTGATATTCCAAACTGAAAATCTGTTTTTATATCCAATTCCCATATATATATATATATATATATATATATATATATATATATATATATATATATTCTTTTTTTTTAAGTTTGCTAACAGAGCAGTAGCCAACAGTGATGAAAAGGTAGATTCTCATCAAACTGATCTAGATCCTCTTTTAATGATTGATTTACATAATTAGCATAAACATATTCCTTCTTTCGCTTTCGGTTATCTGCTTATGTCTCCTTGAACCCCAGTGGGCCTCAGCAGATGGCCGCTCACACTGAGCCTGGTTCTGCTGGAGGTTTCTTCCTGTTCAAAGGGAGTTTTTCCTCTCCACTGTCGTTACAAGCATGCTTAGTGTGAGGGATTGCTGAAGAGTCAATGAATCGATGCAATCAACTGCTTTTCCTCCGTCTCATCCCTCCAACTTTAAACTCATGTTCATTCATTTGAGCAGAAAATATAAATAGAGCTTATTCAGATCAATTTTCATCCACATTTCTTTGCGAGGTCATGCACAAGAATTTGACCTGTGTGAATGTGTTTTTATGTAAATGTACCATTAGCAGTTTGCCATGTTTCATTTACCATAATTTCCCATATTCTTCCACAATCGGTAAAAAGACTTTTGGTGGAATTAAGATGGGCATAGTGTAAGCATGGAGGGCTAATGTCAGCACCCTGACATTAATCAAGGACTAGGAACAATATCAGACTTTATGGAGAGAGCACACTAAAGGGGTTTCTTGTTTGAACAACAAATAAAAACCAAGCCACGTTCACATGGTGGTTTTTAATTAATTTCTATTTAGTTTATTTCTATAGCTCTAATTTAAACACATGTCATCTCAAGGCACTTTCCAGTTCACCAGATCATCCAGTCAGATTGATTCAAAGTTTTTCTATCTAAGGAAAACCAGCTGATTGCATCGACTCATTGAACCTTCAGCAATCCCTCACACTAAGCATGCTTGTAGCGACAGTGGAGAGGAAAAACTCCCTTTGAACAGGAAGAAACCTCCAGCAGAACCAGGCTCAGTGTGAGCGGCCATCTGCTGAGGCCCACTGGGGTTCAAGGAGACAGAAGCAGACATAGAAAAAGAAGCATAGATACAAAAGGCAACTGTCAACCAGCTCCACAGGCGGCCCCGTCCAGGAAAGACACAGCCAGGCAGACGAGCTCCGAGCCAGCTCCCATGTCAGAGGATGAAGAGAGCACATCCAGTTAGTCACAGTCAGAGAAACAGGACTACACTGGAAAACAGGCCGATCTTTTACTGAAACCCAACATCAACACACGTTTTGATCAAAAAGTCCTATAAAAAACGTTAATAGGTGTCTTCATAACTCTCAGCCACATCCAGTTACTTTTAGATAACATTTTGAATCAAAATTAGTTGTTTCTGTCCCCTTGTACTATGCTAGCAAACATTTTAATACTGGGTGAAGATAATTTTGGTGGGAATGGCAGCCTAGTGGTTAGGGCATTGCACTTCGGTCTCAGGGCTCTGAGTTGAAGCCCCACTCCCACAGACTGCCACTCTGGGTCCATGAGCAAGACCCTTAACCCCACACTGCTCCCTGGGCGCCGCACAATGGCAGCCCACTGCTCCCCAAAGGGAGGGGTTAGATGAAGAGAGGGAATTTCAGTGCTTTATGCTTGTGACAGTGTAATGACAATAAAGTTGAATTCTATTCTAATTCTAGTAAATCAAAGAGCAATTTCAAATTTATTTTTTCCATTCATTCTGAAAAAGGCCATTCAAACTGAAACTCATGTTCATTCATTTGAAAAAATTATTTACATTGCCTATTGAAAAAATACTGTTTGTCTCTATAAATTAAAACATGTTTTAAAATATTTTTGCTAAGTCAATTAATTTTACAAGCTAACACTTAACAGTGGGAAAAAAGTACACTAAAAGCACCATGGTTACGAGAAGTTCTGCTTTGATGGGGATCATGATAAACAGAGCATCACATTTAAAGGAGTATTTATAGAACAAGCTGTATCGTACACATAGTGTAAAGCAGCATCTTTAAATGTTGCAGCAGGTTTTATATTACTGAGCCTCCTGGGGAACATCTGCAGCTTGTCTTTGTAAATTTTGATCTAAAAGTTTCAGAGCGGGGTGTTACCCACAGAAGCGATCCACTGAGTCTTACAGGGCGGAAATGTGCCAGCTTTGCATGTGCTGTTAACCCATCACCTGTCGTGTTTGTGCTAACCTGGTTTCACTGGGGCTTTGGGCTTACGTACTTGACACAGGCTAGTGGTGAGATGTGCAAGTTGAGGCACACAGCAGTAAACAGTGTGTGGGAGATTGTAGCATCTACATCTCTGGGAGTTTGCATAATTTACTGGACAGGCCCCTGAGAGAGCGGCTCACACACAGTTGTTTACATGAATTACAGTTAAGTATGGCAGAGGCAGATGCAACAATTCGAGGAACCATCCAACAGGTGTATGTGTGTTTGTGCATGGGCGTGTGACTGATTATTGACAATGACATCAGTGTTGGAATCAGTGAAAAGGCTCTTTTTCATAACCTGACGGCTATCTGGGCTGTATGTAAATCCTGTGGCCGATAGAGGCTGATACCAAAGCATCAAGCTAAGCTTTAAGTATCACTGCATTGATAGGGACAGGGCCAGTTCACTCTCTGAGTTATGTTTATCTCTAAACCTGGACAGGGAGAGGAAGTTAATTTATTATCGTCCATTAGAGATGAAGCAATTCATACCGGAGAAAGAGACTAGATACTTTTCTCTATCTTTGCAAAGTGTTTTTCTAGATTTCTAGACTTTTTACCTTTTACTTTATTGATTCTAATCTCTTCTATTAGAATACCCTCTTCTAACCAGAGGACCTGCAAACTATCAGCGTTGGAATAAAGACAATCCTGAAGACACCATTCATCTCTACATGCTGCTGTGATGTTTGGGAATATGACTCACCACATGGACTCCTTTATTTAATTAACAGCATGGGTTCCCGAACTGAACTTTCAGCAGTGCAAAGACAGCGTTTCTGAAAGAAGGAAACGCAGCTAATTTTCCTAAGATGAACATCAGCAACTGTTCTGATGAAGAAGGGCTGAAGCAATACCAGCACAATGTGTACGCCATTGTGTATGGTGTGATTTTAGCACCTGGCCTGCTGGGTAACGTTCTGGCACTGTGGGTGTTTAGGATCTACATACGGGAAACCAAGAGGGCTGTGGTGTTCATGATGAACCTGGCTATAGCCGATCTACTTCAGGTAACCCAACCCTGTTCCTTCTTACTTACTGCCTCCTTTTGGTCCACTTTATTTATTTATTTTTTGATATATGCACTTTTTATTAAAAATATTTTTTGCCATACAAGTACACATACCGATTTTACATTTTTTTTTCTTTCCAAACACAACATCTAACAGAATCTGCACATATATTCTGTACATGTATTGAACTGTAAGCAAACTATTTACAGTCTGTAACTCTATAAGGGTCCCAAACCCACAATATTAACCAACAAAATCTGATCTCCAAGGTAGCACTGGTAGCTTGAAAACAAACAGTATATATAGGAGCTGGAACAAGGTTGATCGGATAAGTATTGATGAGAGAACAGGCAGAGTTAAACAGGAGGGTGGAATAAGCAATCAAGCCACCAGTGCCAGGACCATGACACTTACCTAGAATTAACTACTTATTTTCAATGATCCCCAATATACCATCATCTGACTGGTTTAAATCTAGATTCTTCCATCTCTGAATTTCTTTGGAAGGATAACCCCCCTCGTATCAGCTTAAAGACACTACCGAAAACTAAAGACAGAGTGGGACTAGATTTACCAAACTTCCAAAACTACTACTTAGCAAATAGATTACATTACATCTCTAAATGGATAAAACATAATCCCTTAGATGAGCCCTGGATAGACACAGAACAGGAAATATGCAATATAATATCTAATAATAATAATAGCTCTAATATTAAGCGGCATTCATGTTTTAAAAATATGGTTATGCACGCCGGTTCAGAGGTTCTGGGTACAGGTATGTAAGGATCTATCACTGTGCCTGGGTTGTAAAATCTCACTTTCCCCTTCAGTTTGCTTGCTGGGTGACTTTGAGGGAAGCTCTATGGAAAAAAAATTTGTCTGCATGGCCTTCACTGCATTATGTATCGCAAAGAAAACTATCCTCATGAATTGGAAAAGTAAGGTTAAACTCAGCATCAATCAGTACAGAGATCTGTTGTTGGATCATATTAATCTAGAGACAGCATCTTCATCCCCATCAGACCGATCTCTCTGGGCTCCCTTAATCGGCTCCATCACTTAGTGTAGTGGGCGACACGTGTCCTGCAGGGCTGGTTCGGGGGTCCCTGGGTCCTAGGGCTCTGGGGGGGTGCTTTGAGTGGGGTGCCTGGCGGATCTGACCCCGGAGTCAGTGAGCCCCATCGGGTAAGGGCTTGGGATGCCTCAGGGCATCCTACAGCGGCTACTTGCGTTGCTCTTGGGGGGTTCCGTAGCGACAGATGTGGGTTACTGGCCTGGTAGCGGAGCTGCCGCTGGGTGGGTACGGGGGTTTGGGGTCGCTGGGGTGCGTTGCCCTCGGGATGTCCTGTGGGTTATGCTGCTTGGGGTCTTGGCTGGTGTACACCTCGTTGTCCGTCCCTGTTGAGCTTGTAGGGGGAATGGACATTAACATCTTATGACAGATGCTAACCCTTATAGGGGTATGCACACTGCTAGTGGTGGAAGTGGAGTGAGGGGAGTGGGAATGATCCCAGCCTGGTTATCTATCGTCAATATTAATTTTGGGGAGGGATTACATTTCCGGTGGGGGGTGGGGGTGTGATGTGGATGTTTGAAGGGCTTCGGGTCTGGCTCCCTGTCTCAGTCCTGGTCCATGCCATCCCCTGGTGCGTGCTTCATCCGGGGTTCTGCATGGTACACATGGGCTGGCCAGCCAGAGTTTTTTTTTTCTTTTTTCAGCAAAGCCAGGAGGTACGATGGAGGGACAGGATGGGCAGGTGACGGTGTTGGCCCTGGTGGCCAGCTGGCTCATGGGCTCTGCCACCTGTTTCTGGCCAACGGGCTATGGTGGTGCGCCTGGTGGGCCCCCTCTCTCCAGGGGGGCTCTCGGGGAATGGGGTTGCCTATCGGAGTCAGCAGGGGAGCTGGGTCCCTGGGAGTGCAGTAAGCCCCCCAGTCCTTTTCTCCCCACCCCCAGACTCCTTCTCTGCCTGCTCTCTCACAGTGCCACACATGTAGGATCTTGAGGAGGGGGTAGTTACTGGAGGGTCCCACCTTCTAATGACGTCCCCCACCCCAATTTTATTTTGAATTTTAGACTATTTCATCGACAACATTTTAATAACACACATCTATGTAGGGCATTGTCTGGGGGTGTGGGGGTCAAGGATACCGGGGTGGGGGTTTAATTTGTGGGCATCACCTCAGATGGTTCCCCCCACATCCTCTTGCATTTAGACATTGAGGGTTCTGGGTTGTCGATTGGGGGGGGTGAGCTGGCACCGGCCTGTCCTCTAGAGGGGACTCTGGTACTCCCGGTTTTAATTACACCTGAGAGCAACAAACAAAAACACCATATTCAAGGAGGCGCAGGGAGGATCGAGGTCTTCTCACACCCCTGTTCTCCGGCTGGTGCCCGGAGTCTAAGGCCTGGTTTTTTGGCGGGGGGGTTGTTGGGGAGCCTGGATGGGCTGACATTTCTGCTCTCCACAAAAGGGGAGTGGAGGTATGGGCGGATGGGATATTGAGGGGGAAGAAGTGGCCAGGGCAATTATTTGGGGGGGCTCTGGTTGGGTGCCCTGTGCAGGACATGTGGTCCCTGTTCTCGGGGGGGCTTTTGGGGGGGGCCTCTGGTCTGGGTGTGGGGTGGGGTCCGGGCCCGAAGCTTGAACTAGATGGGTTGATATGGCGGTGACACTGCTCCCCCCCCCCCATAGGTTCACCTATTGGGTCATCCGGTAATCCTGGGACCAGCCACCGCCTGGGTCCTCAGTCCTGGGATTGTAACATGTGAGTGTTATGTGTGAATGTGTGTCCGCGTTTTTTTTTCTTTCTCTTCCTCTTCACAGATAATGTGTTGCAAGTGGGGGCACTAGCAAGGGCAGGTATGATTGAGACTGTGTATTTTTTTTATGAGGTTGTAGTTATAACTGCTCCCTCTCCCGAGAACATCTCAAGTCTCCGCTAAGTGCGGAGCCCATTCCCCCGTCCTGCCCATCCTCTGCTGGCTGGCGCCTGGGCTCACCAGCACACTGGTGATGCTTGGTGTTAGGGGGTGCATGCCTGGGTAGGTACTGGCTTATTCCTGTCGGCTGCTCCGGGACCCGGCCGGGGCTCCCGCTGAGGGGTGGGGTGCCCCTGGGGCCTCGGGTTCCTGGGGCCAAAGGCCGGATTCAATGCAGGGTGGCTTGCTGCGGGCAGCGCCCGCAGACTCCCCGTGGCTCCCGGGGGCTCCAGCGTTGCAGTGGCTGGGAAATATCCTCGGGGTCATCCACCTCCTCCCTTGGTGGCGGGACGGATTTCCTGGGTTGGCCCCTCCTGGGTGCCTTTGCTCTTGGGGTCCCTTTGGGCATCTGGGGCTTTGGGTCCCCCAGCGCTCGCCTCGGTGCTCTGGGGGGGACGCCTCTTCGGCTCTTCACAACCACTATTGAGCATTTTCTATTTAGATAAACTTTACATGCACAAGTGCACTCTCACAAACTACTACAGGTGCTTGGTTCCAGGTACTTAGAGATTCACTTCCATACAAAAAGCCCATATTCTGATCTTCAGCTACCACCGAATACATGTCAGATTAAATAATACTTATACTTTGGCAATAGTATCAAGGTGCTACTTTATTGTATCTCTTATACTATATCCGTTGGTTGTGCTGTTCTTTTTCCATCTCTTTGCAGGTGATGAAGCAGACTGAAGATGTTTCATCATTGTCTCCGTTTTATCTCCTCTTTCTTTCATTTTTTCTCCTTTTTTCTGTTTTTCCTTTCCTTTTCTACTTATATTGCAGTGTTCATATAATCTGAAATACTCCCTGCATGAATTATAATAAAGCTATTTATATCCATAAATCAACTCTGGCGATAGTCCTACTTCTTCACATGTGGAAACAATCTCTTGGGCTCTGTTTGGCATCAAGACAATTATTGTTATTTCCATTTCCACATTGCCAGACAGGACACTGTTAAAAGAAAAAAAACTGACCTTCCAAACTTCACTCTAATAAGAAAACATGTAAACTGAAGTGAGAGTTCAGGAAGGGTCAAAATGTATTTTCATTTCCTCATTACCTAAACATTGTAACCCAAACAGGACAGTAAAATTAGTAGATTGATGAATGCATGTAGCTTATCTGTCATCAAATCAAAGAATCAATGCAAAAAGTTTCAAAATTATGAGCTGATGCTACAATAGCCTTTAGGAAATTTGCCTTGACTGGGTGTTTTTATCCTCTAGCCTAAAAGTTATGATAGGGTTGTCAGAAACATCGACTCCTGAAGGCAGTTAACTTGTAGCAAGTATGAGCTACCCATTATGAAAAGAAGGTGGGGGCGGGGGTGTTAAGGGAAACATCATGTAAGAAAAAAATGCTTTTATAAGCACATCTGTAGAAACATTTTAGGGGGGAAAAACTATGGATGTCTCAGAATATGAGAAGAATACGGAAAAGTAAAACTCCCACTGAATTATTTATTTGAAATCGCAATACCATTTCCCAGGACTTCTGCTAAGGTAAAGGGCTTAACTAAAGTCAGTGGTAAATACTCTTACCAATAAAACACCAATAAATTAACTGTTACTTCTGTTGTTGAATAGTTTATAATTCAATGAAATGCCTTGAGTTAAAAAAAATAATGTTTTTTTTTAAACATATCATAGCCAAAGTGCTCTGATTTTAATATTTAATACAACAGCTTATTGTAATAGGCTCCGAACATAGGAGCAAGAATAAAGGCGAGACAGACAGTGGATTACTTAAAAAGTTTATTCAGACAAAGAACGGACCGATTCTGCAGTGGCTCTGCTGATGCGTCTGAAGGGTGTCTAAAGCAGGAATGAGGATGACTCCAGCCTGTTGACTGAACAAACCCAGAGGACACTGCCTGAGAGTCCCAGACTCCAAAGCCCAGAAGGCTGCAAAGCCGACAGGAGACAAGATCCGAGCTAATGAAGCAAGACAGGATAATCAACAGGTTGAAGTCGAGAGGCAGATCCAGGTTCCGTCCACACAAGAATAC